TGGTTTCTAGGTACTTTTTGAATTCCTCTGATTTTCTCAGTGGCCCCTTGGCTATTTAGAAATGTATTGTCACCCTCCACATGTTTGTGTTTTTTATAGTTTTTCCCCCCTGTAATTGGTATCTGATCTTACAGCTTTATAGTCAGAAAAACTGCTTGATACAATTTCAATTTTCTTAAATTTACCAAGGCTTGATTTATGACCCAAGATGTGATCTATCCTGAGAATGTTCCTTGTGCACTTAAGAAAATAAAGTGTCTCTGGATGGAATGTCCTAGAGATATCAATTAGGTCTATTTCCTCCAGTGTGCCATTTAAAGCTTGTGTTTCCTTTTTAATTTTCTATCTGGATGATCTGTTCACTGGTGTCCGTGGGAGTATTAAAGTCTTCCCCTATTACTGCATTACTATCATTTTCCCCTTTTACAGTTGTTGGCATTTGCCTTATGTACTGAGGTCCTTCTATGTTGGATTCACATATATTATAATTGCACCTTCTTCTTGGATTGAGCCCTTGATCGTTAGATAGTGTTTTTCCTCGTCTTTTACGATGGTCTTTAAGTCTGTCTCATCCGATATGAGTGTTGCTGCTCCGGCTTCCTGATTTCTATTTGCATGGAATGACTTCTTCCAGCTCCTCACTTTCGGTCAGGATGTGTCCCTAGGTCTGAAATGGGTCTCTGGTAGACAGCATATATAGAGGTCTTGTTTTTGTATACATTCAGCCAGTTTGTATTTTTTGGGTGGAACACTTAATAATTTACATTTAAAGATAACTATTGATAGTAAATATCAACAACCTCAGATATGCAGATGATACCCCTCTAATGGCAGAAAGTGAAGAGGAACTAAAGAGCCTCTTGATGAAGGTGAAAGAGGAGAGTGAAAAAGCTGGTTTAAAACTCAACATTCAGAAAACTAAGATCCTGGCATCTGGTCCCATGACTTCATATCAAATAGATGGGGAAACAGTGGAAACAGTGATAGAATTTCTTTTCTTGAGCTCCAAAATCACTGCAGATGGTGACTGCAGCCATGAAATTCAAAGATGCTTGCTCCTTGGAAGAAAAGATATGACAAACCTAGACAGCATATTAAAAAGCAGAGACATTACTTTGCTGACAGAAGTCAATCTAGTCAAAGCTATAGTTTTTCCAGTAGTCATGTATGGATGTGAGAGTTGGACTATAAAGAAAACTGAGCACAGAAGAATTGATGCTTTTGAACTGTGGTGTTTCAGAAGACTCTTGAGAGTCCCTTGGACTGCAAGGAGATCCAACCAGTCCATCCTAAAGGAAATCAGTCCTGAATATTCATTGGAAGGACTAATGCTGAACCTGAAACTCCAATACTTTGGCCACCTGATGTGAAGAGCTGACTCATTGGAAAAGACGCTGATGCTGGGAAAGATTGTGGGTAGGCAGAGAAGGGGGCAGCAGAAGATGAGATGGTTGGATGGCGTGAGTTTGAGCAAACTTCAGGAGATAGTGAAGGACAGGAAATCCTGGTGTGCTGCAGTTCATGGTGTTGTAAAGAGTCAGACACGACTTACAGTGACTGAACAATGACAACATGATCTTACTACCATTTGCTTTTTGATTTGGGGGTTTTTTGTATGTCTTTTCTTTCTCTTATGTTTCCTGTCTAGAGAAGTTCCTTTAGCATTTGTTGTAGAGCTGGTTTGGTGGTGCTGAATTCTCTTAACTTTTGCTTATCTGTGAAGCTTTTGATTTCTCTGTCAGATCTGAATGAGATCCTTGCTGGGTAGAGTAATCTTGACTATAAGTTTTTTCCTTTCATCACTTTCAGTATATCCTGCTCCTGCCTCTGGCCTGCAGAGTTTCTGCTGAAAGATCAGCGGTTAACCTAATGGGGAATCCTTTGTGTGTTATTTGTTGCTTTTCCTTTGTGGCTTTTAATATTTTTTCCTTGTGTTTAATATTTGTTAGTTTGGTTAATATGTGTCTCGGCGTTTTTCTTTTGCACTTATCCTCTATGGGACCCTCTGGGCTTCCTGGACTTGGGTGGCTGTTTCCTTTCCCAGGTTAGAGAAGGTTTCAGCTGTAATCTCCTCAAATATTTTCTCATACCCTTTCTTTTTCATTTAAGTTCAAGCACGTTCTGAAAGATCTACATCTTTTACTCCCATACCCCACATTTTGTATTTTTGATGTGACATTTTACATCTTCATGTTTATCCCCTCACCGTTTATTATAGTTATAGTTGCTGCTACAATTTTTGCATTTTAATTTTCATACTAGCTCATTTCAGTGATGAGCCTAGCCTTTACTATTTGTTTGCTTTTCCTGGTGGAATTTTCACATTCCTATAGATTCTTACTTCTTGGTGTAGCCTTTTCTTTTCCACTTATAGAAGACCCTTTAACATTTCCTTTAGGGTAGGTTTAGTATTGATGCAAGGAGATCCAACTGGTCCATCCTAGAGGAGATTAGTCCTGGATGTTCACTGGAAGGTCTGATGCTGAAGCTGAAACTCCAGTACTTTGGCCACCTGATGCGAAGAGCTGACTCATTTGAAAAGACCCTGATGCTGGGAAAGATTGAGGACAGGAGGAGAAGGGGATGACAGAGGATGAGATGGTTGGATGGCATCACCAACTCAATGGACATGGGTTTGAGTAAACTCCGGGAGTTGGTGATGGACAGAGAGGCCTGGAGTGCTGCGGTTCATGGGGTCACAAAGAGTCGGACATGACTGAGCAACTGAACTGAACTGAACTGAACTGAACTGAACTGGAGTATTGATGACCTCTTTTAGTTTTTGCTTGCTTGAGAAGTTCTATACCATCTTTCAGTTCTCAGTGATAATCCTGCTGGGTAGAGTGTCCTGAATTGTATGCTCTTCCCTTTAGCACTTTGAATGTCATGACAGTCCCTTTATTCTTGCAAAGTTTCTGCAGAAAAATTAGCTGTAAATGACTTTTTGTTTTTCTCTTGCTGCCTTTAGAATTCTCTCTTTAACTCTTGTCATTTTAATTGGAACATATCTTGCTGTGGGTCTGTTTGTGTTCACCTTATTTGGAATCCTATGTGCTTTTTGTACCTGGAGATACATATTTATCTATATATAGGTGTATAATCTTTATAGGCTTCCTTGGTGGTTCAGATGGTAAAGCATTTGCCGGCAGTGCAGGAGACCCAGGTTTGATCCCTGGGTCAGGAAGATCCTCTGGAGAAGGGAATGGCTACCAACTTGGTATTCTTGACTGGAGAGTTCCAAGGATAGAGGAGCCAGGCAGGTTTTTTATATATATATGTATATATGTGCGTGTGTGTGATTCTTCAGATTTGGGGAGTTTTAGTCATAGTTCAACCAAATACATGTTTAATAACCTTCTCTCTCTCTGGGACTTCTATAATGCAAATATTTATGTGTTTGCTATTATCCCATAGATTGCTTTGAATGCATTTATTTTTTAATTTGTTTTTCTTTTGCTATTCTGATTCAGTGATTTTCATTATTCTATCTTCCAGATCACACACATTCTTCTGTATCACTTGCCCTGCCTGCGTGCTTAGTCATATCTGACTTTTCACAAGACTTTGGACTATAGCCCGCCAGGCTCCTCTGTCCATGGGATTTTTCAGGCAAGAATACTGGAGTGGGTTGCCCTTTCCTTCTCCACGGGATCTTTCCAACCCAGGGATCAAACCCATACCTCTGTGTCTCCTGCATTGCAGGCAGATTCTTTACCTGCTGAACCATCAGGGAACCTTAGTCAGCTATTGATACCTTCTAGTTTGTTTCTATTTCAGCTTGTGTTTTTAATTTATTTATTGTATTCTTTAGCTCTGACTGCTTCTTTTGTCTTCAGTTCTGAAACTAGTTCTTTATATTCTCTCGTTCCCTATTAAAATTCTCATTGTGTCCATCTATCTTTCCTGTAATTTATTTAGCATCCTTATTACTAATGCTTTGATTCTTTATGTAGTAAACTGTGTATTTCTGTTTCATTATTCATTTTTTTTCAGGAGTTTTCTGTTGAGCTTTCATTTGAGATCAGTTCCTGCACCTTCTCATTTTGTTTAGCTGTCTCTTTCTGAATTTAGGTGAAACAGTTGCCTGTCGTGGCCTTGAGGGGCTCTCTTTATGTGGGAGTATCCTTGTACCTTTCTCATTACCCAGAGCCTTCGGTGGGAGAGCTGGATTTGACTTGAAAATAAGTCAGTCTTTGGTCAGGGTTTACTGGCATCTATCCTCTTCGTAGGGGTGAGGCTGGCGATGGGCTAGGGCTGAAGCCAAGCGTGGACCAGGGTTTGTCCACTGCTCGGGGCCATGACTGCTATGCCGGGGGTGGGGTCTGACCCCAACTTGTTGGAACAGAATCTCTGAGGGTCAGGTTTGATCCAGCTCTGTTCCTTTTGTTAGGTGGTTAGAATAGGAAAAAGGAGCCCAGAATGGCAGTGGCTAAAAGATAAGGAAGGGGAAAGCCTGCAAAAATAGAACAAAGGAAGTCCCAAGGACCAGAGTGAGGACTTCAGGTAAAACAAACAGCACTCCCGGCTAGCCCAGTTTACGTAGGGCAGGCCCGGGGGAGGGGGTGGGACATAAAAAGAGGCGCCAGAGGGCCAGGGACTCTTTCTCCTCTTCCGTCTTTTGGGTCAGCATGCCCTCACACCTTGAGGATGTATTTTCCTTTATTTTTGAAATAAAACTGAGCTGTAACACTGGTCCATCCAATAGCTGTAGCACTGGTCCGTCCAAGGGCAGTAACACTGGTCCGTCCAAGGGCTGTAACACTGGTCTGTCGTTTCAGATTTTTGTTGTGATAACACAGAACCGAGGAAATCACACACTCCCCCGACACTTTCAAATGCATGTTCTCCCCTCCCCCAGCAGCAGTGCCCTTGCCCCTGAAGAAGCATTACTGGAGCGAGAAGCATGTGCACAGCCCTTGGCTGGTTAAGGGGTGAGGGCTGTCATGGGCCAGCAGCAGACAGAGGTCCAGACGGGCTCCAGGGCTTCACCCATGCAAGTGTCAGCAGTGGCTGGCCCTGCCCTGCTCACACACGGCTTGAGGCCGGAGTCTGCTTTGCTGCTCATGAACAATCACTTCCTCAGGTCTCTGCTGCCCCAGGGTGTACCTGACGGACTGCCTGCAGAGAGGGCAGCCGTCGCCCTCCCTGCATCTGCACCAGCGGTGGCCGCCCCCGACCCCCTCCAAGCCTCCCCGGGTCTCAGCCACCTCTGCGGCCCCCGGCCAAGCGCCCCCTGAGAAGCTGTAGCCCTCAGCCCAGTGGGGAGCTGTGACGTGCAGTAGGAAGGGCTGGAGCGCTTGCGGAGCTTGGGAGGGGCGCGCCGGGGCCGGCCTGGGACACCCGGCGGCCCCTGAAGCAGTCCGCATCTGCCCTGTGTGCCTGCCTCCAGGACAAGTCAGGGCAGAGTCCAGGCCTCCCCCGGGCCTCCTGTTAGTCCCAGAACCCTCCCAAACACCGAGGGGAGGGTTCCAAACACTCATCTTCCCCCAGTGAAACCCCAGGAATCGTGTGCCCACTATTTGGCTCAAACTGCTCCCTCCCTGGGCTGGATCTCCTGCTATGTAATTCCCCTTTCCTTCAGAGGTCCTGACAGGATCGCCTCTCTTCCCTTCCCACCCTTTTCCTCCTGGCTCTTTCTTGCAGCCTTACTGCCTTTCGGTCGGTTCCAGGTTAGGCTTCAGTGAGAATTGCTCCACAAGTAGACCTATTTTTGAGGTGAGTTCCATGTCCCCCTACCTCTTGATCAATCTCCTTCAGTAGGTCTTGATGAAGTTCAGCAATCATTTACTGAAAATTAAGACTCAAATGGTTCTTGCTCTTCCTGTCCTCTCCGATTCTTTCTGTCACAGGACTGAGGAAAACAATTAGCCCCCTCTAGAGAAGTAAAGGGAGTAATGTGTCAAATTCCACGTAGCGCTCTCCCCCAAGTTCTGTTTAATCTTCCCTGGTCCGGTGCCCTAGTGCACTGTTTGGTTGCAGGCTGCATTTTATGCTCCCTCAAATGCGTGGTCACATTGTTTCCACTTCCTGGAACAGTACAGACTGTCCTTGTTCCTGTCCACAGTGCTTTCCTGGAAACCTTTCCATATAAGGATCTGCGGTAACACAGATCCCTTTCCCTCATAAGACTGGCATCGCTACTGAGGGTGATAGTGCTAAAGGTCTTCCCAGGTGGTGCGCGTGGTAAAGAACCTGCCTGCCAATGCAGGAGATGTGAGAGACTCAGGTTTGACTCTGGGTTGGGAAGGTCCCCTGGAGGACGGCATGCAACCCGCTCCAGCGTTCCTGCCTGGAGAATCCCACGGACAGGGGCCTGGTGGGCTGCAGTCTATGGGGTTGCACAGAGTAAGACATGACTGAGTGACTAACACACCTCAGAACAGATTCAGCAGAACGTGGATAAAGACAGGACACAGTAGATAAAAAATATCTTCAAAATCTTTGTTACTCCTTCCATTAAGAGATTCTGTCCTCTCCTTGAATCTCACAAGTCTTAGTGCCTTGCTTGATCAATGTGGCAAAGGTGTCTTACTGAGACTCGTGAGGCCAGCTCATAAAAAAGTCTTGCCGTTTCCTCCTGGATCTCTTGGAACAATTATTTTTATTACTCAGTGTCTTGGCTGTGATGAAACCCAAGAAACCCTGCAAAGAGATCCACATGGAGAGGAACAAAGCCCCCCCCCCCCCCAACCAACAACCCAGCTAAGCTTTCAGCCACACGGCACTAGCGGTGTGATTGAACGTTCAGCGTGACTGAGCTATCTTGAGCTACGCCAGTTGACACCAGGTGGAGCAGAGAAAAGCTGACAGTTAAGTCTTACCCGTGTTGCAGATCTGACAGCAATTAATAAAGTAATGATAAATTACTGTTGTTTTATTAGATTATTTTTTGAGGTATAGTTGATTTACAATATTGTGTTAGTTTCAGGTAAACAGAAAAATGATTTAGTTATATATTTCTTGTTCTTTTTCATTAAAGGTTACTTGAATATAATTTCCTGTGCTATACTGTAAGTCTAATCAGTGTTCTCAAGAGGTCATTTTTATGAGAACGTGTAACCCAAAAATAAGTCTCAAGGGAGAATCTTTTATTTCAGGGAAACCAATATATATTATCTATAAACAGGTGATATATCTATTTAAAGTGTTGGCTAGAATTATGCTATATGTAGATTGCATTTAAACATTTTATTTAGTCTTACAATGTAGCATATGAATACCTCTTTTTTGTCTAAAAGTAGGTAAACTCCTAAGCAAATTGTCACTTTAATCAATAACTTTGGAGATAAACTATTGCTGGAAAAGCATGAGCCTAATAGCTGCGTAGAAGTACAACTTTTACACTTACTTTTAGGTAATTATTTACACTGTTAAATAATTTTGAATACATAACTTTTATTAATTCATTCCTTTTGCACTCCATCCATTTTGTTGGGGAGGATTATGGCAACTATTTAAAAAAGATTTCAGTAAATAAACTCTGAAGTTGAAACTGGAATTATTTATGCTTAATCTTTTCATGCATCAAAAAGTTTTGAAGACATAACTCATGGCATTTCTTTAGTGACTCAAGAGTGTGTATTCTTACAGCACTTAACTTTTCCTGTGATGGCTTTCATCTTTTCCTGAGTAGCTCAAAATAGAAAAAATACTGGAACCCCTTTTGTCTACTATCCAGCCAACTGTAAGTGTTTCTTATATGCACAGTGCCTGGCGGGTCTTCCGGAAGGGGGAGAGGCAGGGAGGGCTCCCTTGGAAACCTGCCTCTGCATCACATTAGGGAACAACGTGACGCTGTTCCGCTCAGTCTCTGACTGTGAGTTACAACATGCAAATACAAACTTGTATGTGTAGTAAATATGTCCCAGACTGGGGAGATGTCATTCCAGCAGGGAAAACATGGTTTGAACTACAAGCACGGCTCTTTTCCCACTACCATTAATGCTGCCTTGGTCCACCACACCAGTCTCATGGCATGACTTTTACTAGCCATCTCCCACTAGCTAGGTCCTACTGCGGAAGCTATGACAGAAAAAGGAACAACATTTGCCATTCTGCAACACTGATGAGCAAAGCGCTGGGCAGAGTTTGTCTTTAACTCACTAAGTTATAAAGTTTGGGCTTATATATAGCATTTGTATATTCTGAGCTCTATAAGACAGAACAGCTGATATCAGGAGTGGTCATATTAAGGACCGCAGTGATGATCACTTAGTTTTGTTGTTATTCAGTTGCTCAGTCGTGTCCAACTCTTTGGGACCCCATGGACGGCAGCACACCAGTCTTCACTCTTCTTCACTATCTCCCTGAGTTTGCTCAAACTCACGTCCATTGAGTCGGTGGTGCCATCCAACTGCCTCATTCTCTGTCGTCCCCTTCTCCTGCCTTCAATCCTAGCATCAGGGTCTTTTCCATTGAGACAGTTCTTCTCATCAGGTGGCCAAAGTATTGGAGTTTCAGCTTCAACATCAGTCCTTCCAGTGAACACCCAGGACTGATTTCCTTCAGGATGGACTGGTTGGATCTCTTTGCAGACCAAGAGACTCTCAAGAGTCTTCTCCAACCACAGTTCAAAAGCATCAATTCTTCTGTGCTCAACCTTCTTTATGGTCCAACTCTCACATCAGTACGTGACTACTGGAAAAAATCACAGCTTTGACTATACAGACCTTTGTCAACAAAATGATGGCTTTGATTTTTAATAAGCTGTCTGCGAGTGACCATAAAGACCATGCACTTGACTAAGCATTTTTTTATTATTGTGCTCAATTTATTACAACAGCCTTGCGTGGTAGTATTGTTCTGCACATTTTGAAGATAGGGAAGTAGAGGTTAAATAACTTTGTAAAGAGTGAATCCAGTATTTCAACTCCATCAGTCACCAAAGCTCCTTCTCTTTCCACAATCCCCACACTTATATTCAAAACCACTATGTTTACCGAAATGTTTTTAAGTGGCCACTGCTGTAAGTGGTATTTGGTGGGGATTACATGTGAGTTCCCAAATTTATTTAGAGAGAACATCTCATCAAAGTTTTCCTGTGGAAGTCCAAGCCTTAGGACTGATTTCTTCTTTATCAAAGTCAACTTTATGGCATTAAGATTTATGTAACACTCTTCAAGATGCCTGAAATTGAAGACTCTAGGAGAAAGTGCTGGATCTCAGAATTTCAGGACGGGATTGAATCATTCATTCTACACAGACTATGTAAGCACTGACTTTGACCTTTAGAATATAGCAGCGATGAAACATATACAGCCTTGAACTTGATGAGCCCACAGTGGTACCTCTCCTTTCAAATCCACTGAAACAAAATGCAATAATGTTATGAGGGTGGGGAAAGCGTATTAAAGAGAACAAATGACATTAATCATTTGGAGGCCCCTGAATAGCTAGGTCTGGAAATTGCTGAACTGCTAAATTCAGCACCAGCTTATCCTGGAGCAGGTAAAAACATTGATCTCTCCCAGGACTGGCCCTTAAACTCCCTCTTTCAAAACAAATGTCAAAATATCATTCTACTATGAATTCCCAGACAGAAATGGAAGCTCACTGATGCACGTTAAATTCCATCAAAGGATTATAAAGGAGAAAAAATGTAAGAGAAGTTTTGGACATGGTTGGGTACTGTTAGATATGGTTAACACATCTTAATTTTGCTTGCAAACCCTTCTGATATTGAATAACAAGGAGAAATTAAGATGTGGTATAGTGCAGCATGCTTTGCCAGAAGCTGTTTAATCCATAACCTATGACATGGACTTTCTTGTCTAATACTTCTTTTTGAAACCTTTCTCGGCTATACCCCCACATAACTATAATGCATCATACTATTTATTCCTCCTGCTCTCTGCTTCCAACTCACATGTCTCCTTCAAGTTAAGGAAGTGGGCTTCCCCTGGAGGAAAGATATTGCTGACAACTCCAAAGTGAAGACAGTTCTAATGGGAATACCTTGGCACTATTGCAGGGGGCTGCCAATGCGGCTGTTTCTGGCAATCAGTTAGGAACTGGCAGATGTTAAATTGACATATGTTAGGAAATAGCTTTCAGAGACTCATGTTTCAAAATGTATAAAAGAAAAAACGGATGATACCACTTGTTTTTGGCTTAAACTGGATATCTAGAAAATCACACCAGATGTGTTAAGATGTTTCTCTTTAGAAACATTTTCTGTTTCCTGAGAAGGAATGAGCAAAAGCAGAAGTGAGATATAGGCTCCTCAAAGTGAGCTCTGGTCTTCTTTTATAAATTTTAAATTTCACTTGTGATTAAAATCTTTGACCAAAATTAACAGGGGAAAAAAAACAATAAATTCAATGTTTTTATAATTGGTGTAGATTTTATAAACTGATGAATTATTCAG